ACGGCAGCAGAGCTACCTACCGCGAATATATATCGCATGCGACCAAATCGTTCTTGTGTGCTATCAATCAACAAAACGAGCCAATTCTAAAGAACCCTTCCGATTCTTTCCATATAGTGTTGCACTCTGATTTCTGAATACATCTGCGTGTGCCCATATTAACACTGGAGTCATAATCCACAACGACTGGTTTATTCGTCATTTTACCCAGAGGCGGCAAGGCGATCGATAGAAAAACACTAATGCCATGATCACGTGGTCACTGAACACAAGTGTCATGGGACTGCAATGGTTGCAGGAGCCAACGTTCTGTACGCAACGCCTCCCAATGACTCATTATGGTCGGGAGTGGGTGTATCGGGCTCCGAAATGGCCATTCGTCCCGAACTCCTCTAGAAGTGCTCCCAAACGATCGAGCATCTCAAATAGCTTCTGCTGAGAAAGTCCTACACACTGCCTTCGCGTGACGGAGGTGTTAACACTAAAATGGGAGGGCAAAGGCGAATGCCCGGCGCTTTCCACCGGGTCGACTGACCACGAGTAGTCAGTCTAGAGGAGTTGACTAAACTCTGATTCCAAGCTACCCACACCTGGAGTAAGAAGCTCATAGTGGCACCAATCTTCGGCGCAACCGAACCGGTCCCCAAAGTTAATCTTTGGAGTTGATCATCGTGATGCTCACCGGCAAGTACACGGCTCAAGAGCAATCTGGGTACCCTGGATAGTTGGCCGCATCCGAAAGGCGTACGAACTGGTCCTGCAGTCACCGGCTCCCAGAGGATCGTGGACTCCCTACTCCACCCCACTGCCTTATGGGTCAGGTTCTTTAACCAAAGGCTCCGGGTAGGGTACCTCAAGAAAACCCTCTACCTCGGCCTCGGCAACTGGGTAGTACCATGCCCACAAACTAAACATGGACTTATGAACATACACATTTACGCATGTCACAGAGTATTACACTCCTGCAAAGTTTTCTCTTAGAATCCGCACGCAACACTCCCCCTGCCCCCCACCCTCTG